CCTCCCTCTCTCTCCCTCCTTCCCTCCCCCCCCCCCCAACTAATGGATGATGATAGTTGCCAACTATTCTCATTATCGATTCAGTCGATTAGTTGTTGCAGCTCTACTCCTGATGGTGATGGAGCCAGTACACATCTTTATTGTTCCTTCTCCCCGTTCTTCTCTTTTCTTCTCTCCTTTGTGATTCCCCTATTTAAAAAAAGTAATTCAATCCTGCGTGATATACATCTTCCTCTTTCCTACTCCTCACAGTCTCCAACCAGAATTGATTGAGCCTGGTGGTCCAAGTTAATGGCCAAGTCGGGGTTTACAGGACCCTGTGTGTGTGTTATGGTCATAAAAAGAGACAGACATCCCTGCCAATGAAGAGTACAGTGATGGTCTGGAGATGGCCCACCCCCCAGTCAAATTTATTCGAGTTGGGCCCCATTTGTGGGTATAACAGACTCCACTCTACTAGGAAGGATTGCCACAGACTGTGAAGCGTGTCTGTGTGAGTTTGTGCCTTGTAAGCCAATAGACAGTTGTGAGGCCAGGGACCATGGTGCATGGGGAGACCTGGCTCGCCGTCCACCTTCCAGTTCATCCCAAAGGTGTTCAGTAGGGATCAGGTCAGGACTCTAAGATCCTCCTCACTAAGCCCGCCAGGCCATGTTTTTATGGAGCCGGAAAATCTGGAACATGACACTTAAATAACAGCAAAGACGTAATTCCAGCTCTCGTTTCTGCACTTGTGAGGGTGTCAGCAGCTCCGATGTTTTCTCTTCTCACGTTCACACATTGGAAGTGGAACCGGCACTTTTTATTTTTATTTTATAGGCCTAATTATGCAATTCCATGTAGAAAGCAAGAAAAGGCCGGAGAAGGAAGGTGCTGAACACGGAGCTTTCATTCTGCTGTTTTCTGGAAAAATCCCCAGGCCGTTTTTGTTTTTTTGCATGGCTGCTCCATGGCTCCAGCCTCAGCCAGACGATTAACAACAAGCTATTATCCAGAGGCGAGAGGAAATAAAGAAAGCGTGTCATGTGAAGTAGGCTGGAAAATGGATCAGTTCAGTCGCTCGCAGCGTGATCTGACATCAGAAGCCAGAGGAATGCAGATTTCGGACAAAGCCTGCACAAAAAAGGGGACGAACTGGAAGCTAATGAGAACCCCCAAAATCCCACAAGTTACCCACAGCGGATAGTAATAAATGTGATTATTTTAATTAACTGGAGTGTGCAGTTGCACTGTGGTACCATAGCAGTTAGGATCGGGATCTGGGCTTTGTTTATAGTTACTTTACATGCAGGATGCCAGGCAGATTCTGGCCAGAACGCACTGTATTTGGTGTGGACGAGCCCTCAGTCCCGTGCACAGGTCCCTCTCCACCACTGTCGCTAAAGGGTACGGGAAACCACAAATCCAGCATTGCATATGCGCCTGAGACCACCAGTCCTCTACCATCCCCTTGCGTGACATCACTCCTCTTCTGGATCCTGAGAGGACCCCGTCGCTGGGCCGCTAATAGGAAGTGTCCACATCATGTGATCGTGGCTTTAGGTGGGTAAAAAGGCATTGGTCCTGCCATGAGTGTCCTTGTTCAGGCACTACCTGTTATAGGGTGACAACGCTGTGTCCTCCTATTTTGCTCCTGCGTTGTCACACGGGCTTCCAATGGAGACTGAATGTGATAGTTTCCACATACACTCTTCAGGCATGGGTCTACTGTTGTCACCATCGGGGAACCCGCATGGAGCAATGCTTTAGCAAACTGAATGTCTTTCGGGACCAGTTAAATGTACTTTAATTGCCTGGTACATGTCCAAGTTATGGATTAGTTGGGGAGATACCGAACCCGCAGATGCTGAAGCATTACAGATCTCGCCTGTCAATCGACCAGCTTTTTTTTGTGATTTCAGGAGCGGTTGCAGAATATACGGCCTGAACAGAAGTCCCATTTCTTCTCGGAAGTAGCCGGCGTGAAGGAGTGATGATGGAGCATTACCATTCCATCAAGCCCCTTGGTAAGCACCCCAAGTTGTTTTTTATATTGCGATTGAATCATTAGAGGTTGTTGTTCTACTAAGCTATAATGTTTCTGCTTTCAGAATGTACTGTGGTGGGGTCAGGGGTGGTGGTAAAGGTAGAAGAGGAAGAAGTGTACAGTCCTCGGAATGACCAGAATCCAATGACCAATACAGGTAAATGATCTCCTCCATTATCAGGAATCGTATAACTATGACAATATGGGGTCATGTTAAAAATGTCTGAAAGCGACACTGCAACCTGTCCATTCGATGGTAGGAAGTGGCTTTTGGATAGCCCACTCTCTCCCAGCACGCTGTACTCTATGATCCCATGTCCTTACCCCACTGCAAGAGTCTAGTAAGCTCTGGTGTCAGAACTTATCTGGGTAAATTAAGTCATCGTCCCGTTCCACCCACAACAGTGTCCAGCTCTAGCAATTGGCTGCTCAGGTCCAAACATAGGGCCCTTTATCTAGTTGCCCCGCTCCTTTAGAGCCATGGAGCTGGGAGGCCGCGCGAGAAGGTAAATGGGCAAATGTATTTGGGAGGGTGCTCTAAATGGGGGGGGTATACCTGGAACGGTGCTCTAAATAGGCGGATATACCTGGGAGGGTGCTCTAAATGGGGGGGGGGGGGGGGGGAGCCGGGGGGGGGGCGCAAAGGGGGGGGGCATCCATGTCTGCTCCATGT